AAAAAAAAAAAAATCTTTCGGGCTGGAGAGATGGCTCAGCGGTTAAGAGCACCGGCTGTTCTTCCAGAGGTCCTGAGTTCAATTCCCAACACCCATATGGTGGCTCACAACCATCTGTAATGAGATCTGGTGCCCTCTTCTGGCATACAGGCAGAACACTGTATACATAATAAATAAATCTTAAAAAAAAAAAAAATCTTTCTGTTCAGCTCCTCCCAGGAACTGAAATTACCTTAGATCACTTCCGGCTTCCTACTCTCCTAATAGCTAAGGATATTAAGCAATGACAGTTAACTCTTCAATGATGCCATGTCCCCAGCATCATTATGGAGACTCTCCCACGGGAAACCTAAACTTTCTTCCTCACGTGGCTTTGGTCATTTATCTCAGCAGGAGAAAAGTAACCGATAGATGATCAGCAACATTTCACCAATCACTACTGGAGAAAATGCTAGACACCCTAGCTTAATCACCACTGGGGGGGGGGGGTTGCTCGGTTGGCGGGACGCCAATACAAAGCCCTGGGCTCCATCTCCACCACGGCACAAACCAGGCATGTTGGCACACGTCAGTATTCCCAGCACTTTAGCAAGTGGAAGCAGGAGGATCAGAAGTTCAAGGTCACCTGGGATAGTGAGACCCTATCTATACATACATACACATACATACGTACACACACACAGAAATCATTTAATGAAGAATGACTCAGTAAAGTCTATCCAGTACAAAACAATTTATTAAGTTGTATTTTTAAATAATATAAAAGGTAGAAGCACCAACAATTTAACATTTTTAAACTTCCACTAAGTGAGGTAGAAGCTTTCCCTCCAGGAGAAGGGTCCCATTTGTGAAAATTCCACCGTATATGTAAGTTCATTTTTCCAAACATCAGTACATAAAAGGAAAAACTGACTAACGCCCCCAAAGAGGCAAACCAAATGAAAATAGGGTGTACCTTGTAAGCTGGCATCAGTTCAGAAAACAAAACTCCTTCTCAAAAAAAATTGTTTTATATCAAATCCTCCTCTAATATTGAAATGCTGCATTCCAAAAGTTAACGAAAGGGACATGAGGAGATGATTATGGAGAAGAGGAAGAACTTTCTGGAAGCACACCACTCAGGGATGTAATCAAAGACTAGGCTTAAAGGGAAACCCATTTGACACTGAAAACCAGGACACCCAAAATTCAGAGTAATCACACTCATTCCCCTTAGCACAGAGCGGTTTCAAGCGACACAAACAAGCCA